TTGTTTTTGTGTTAAATTTTTTTATTAATTATATCAAACTAAAACAAAAGTTTGTTTCCCTTTCTGCTAAGGCATTCAATTAAAAAAAAATGGTTAAATTAAATTTCTTATAATAAACAAACAAATAGTTTTACAAATATTATTTGTATGTTTAAAGTTTGGAATATAAATTGCAAACTTTCGTGAACTCGCATTTCTTTAGGAACTTTCAATTGTACAAATGCAATTCCGTTGCAATATTACATAAACTTTTGTCTAGGACTATCGTGCAGATGTTTTATTGTTTACATTATTGCCATGGAAACGTTATTACTGCTGAAAATATTTTTTAAATGAACAACCGGATATGGAATTTTGAGCGGCGGAGCGGTTGTGGCAGCTGTAAGTCTTCGTTATTTAAATCTATTTGTCTTTTATCTATTCTTTCTTTCTCTGATTTTTTCTTTTTTTTTTTTTTTGAATTAATTACACTTAAGCATGTGTACACTGCAATATTATTATAAGCGCCGTGTACGGATTTTTAAATATACAAGTAAATTACAGGATGGTTGAACTTGTGTAATAACAATATAATTTATGAATCTCTAAAAGTGCTGAAATTTTTCAGTCTGTCGCACTTAGTTTAAATGATGTTTGTGTGTATTCTCTTTTCTATAGAAATACATATATATACGAATATCCAACCAACCTGTGGATCATATGTACAAAAAACATAGTAAGTGATTACATATTAATGGATTAATGAAACATATGCAGTATTTTGACTAATGTATGCGAATAATGTATCTTTATAATATTCAGTACATAGTTATCAACGAAAATAAGTAAATAAAACTTCTTCCCTCTTGATTATTTATGTTGCAAGAGATTTTTTACTCATAAATATATATTTTTTTATTATATGCTACCAAATAACTGCTGCGTCGCTGTACTTAAAGCATAATCTTAATTAGTACCTTTATCATAATTAAACTTGATTTAAAAAAAAAAAAAATTAGCTAAATTTAACTGCTGAATATCCAATGAAGCAATGGATATTGGACCTATCCTTTTGCTATTCCATCTATATCTTATAAAATCCCTCCCTGAGACACAAGGATTGGTCATGGATATTTAGCAGTTAGGCCGAAATGCTAAGCATTTTTTCACTATAAGAAAAAGTGGCAGTTAGCCTATTTCGATCATTTCTGTATCTTCTACGTTGCCATGTCCAACTCCATTATGTCTACAAATTTTCATGATTACAATTATCAAAAATATATAAAAATTAAATAAACTTATTAGTATAAATTAGATTATGATGCCATATATTAGAATATATATGATATTGTGAAATATAATTAATTGATACAAAAAAATATACTTACCTATGATTTTGCACATGATTATTATGTAAATGAAAGTGCGTTGTTCGTGGAGAAAAACCACGCATATTACCTCTACGTGGACTTTTAGCATTTATTACTCGTGGTTGCGAATACATATCTTCAAGTATACTAGGTGCTACATAAGTAAATCCCTAAAAAAAAGTAAAAGTAAAAAAGTAAGATATTTAATATTAAAAATTATATAAAGTATTAAAATAAAATTTTACAGAAAATCAAAAAAAATATATAAAAACATACTTGAAATACTCTATTAGCAGATTCACTTAATGTGTATTCTGCAGGGGAATCTATTGGTGCAGATGTCGTAAATTTTTTATCAAATTGTGATACATCGTCCTCGCTTGCCAATGTTGGTCTAAATGGTGGTTCTAATTTACGAGAGATAACATCATTCCAATTGATATGCTTGAAAAATTGATGATTTTTTATTTGTTCTGCATCAGACGGACCAGATCCTAATCTTTGTGCAACTTGTCTCTATAAAAATATAAAATTATTGTATTATTATGTAATTTAGAATATATATCTTTTATGATTTAAAAAATTAACCTTCAACAATTTTCGAATGAGATCTCGAGAATCAGGTGTTAAATATTGTGGAAGATTTAATTTACCACGTAAAATTTTTTCAATAGTTTTTTTTCTATTATCAGATGTAAATGGTGGCTAGAAATTAAAGATATATAAATTAGATAATTTACAATATTAATCTATTTAAGAATCTAATCTTAAATAATCTAATGATACTTACCGAACCTGTAAGCATATCATACATTAAAGTTCCAAGGCTCCACCAGTCTACTGCTTTACCATGTCCACTTCTTGTTAGAATTTCTGGAGCCCTTTCATTAAAATAAAAAATATCAATATGAAAATTGATTACAAGATTTTTTTTCTATAATTGTAGAAATTTCCTTACATATATTCTATAGTACCACAAAATGTGTGTGTAACAGTACCATCTTGTATATGTTCTTTGCATAAACCAAAATCTGTCAGTTTTATATGTCCCTCTGCATCTAACAAGATATTTTCTGGTTTTAAATCTCTAAAAATTTAATTAATAAAAAAAATTAATCATTGAAATACAAAAACAGTATATATCATATAATATACTTTGAACATCAATATATTTAAATTTATATGTATAATTATATTAAAATACCTATAAATAATTCCTTGTAAATGAAGATGTTGAAGGGCCAATATTATTTCCGATAGATAAAAGCTATATAAATAAAATTTATATATAATTTTGAAGAGCATTTATATATACAATAGATTGAAATAATTATCGTAATGTTTCCTTACCAAGCAGTTTCTTCAAGAAAAATGCCTTCATCATTTAAATGTCTAAATAATTCACCACCGCACATATATTCCAGAATTAAATATAATTTTCCACCAGTTTGAAAAGCATACATAAGGTCTACGATGAAAGGATGCTGCCAGATATAATCATATACATATTTTAATTTAATTTTTATATATTATAATATATAACATATAATATATATATTTTTTAACAAAATTTAACTTAGAAAATTAATTAAATTATTGATTAAAAATTATTAATTTAAAATTATTAAAATTAAGTTGTGTAATTATAACAAATAAAAATAAGTAAAATTTGATATATATTTTTAATAACTGTTATTTTTATTTTACATTATTATTAATTAAAACAAATTGAAAATTAAATGGCAAATAATCATAAAAATTATTAAATCAAAATTCATTTATTTGACCTACCTTTACAGCTTCTAAAATATTTCTTTCAGCCTTAGTATGTGCAGTATCTTTCTGGTTCCTTATAATTGAAGCCTTACGTAAGACCTATTTTTTAGATAAATACATTTAACATAAATTTATCAAAAATATAATTAAAAACACATGACCCATGACATTAAAAAAATAAATATAATATTTTTAAACTAAAAAAAGACATAGGTATATAATAACATTATCATAATTATTAAATGAAACATTATTTTATATATTTAAATATAATAAAATATATATTTTTCCAGAATTTATTGAAAAACAATTTATTGAATATATTGAAATAATGAATAGATTTATACATTTTTTTATAAAATTTACAAATACAGAAATAAGAAATTAATTACTAACAAGAATTTTTTAAATTTTTAATTCAAAAAATTCATATTTAAATATATATATATATATATATATATATATATATATAAAGAGAAAAAAAATAATCATTTGAACAATCATATAGAAGACAAAGGGAAACAAAGAACTTATATAATACTGAACAAAATAATCAATTAAAATTTTTTGCGAAACCAAATTAATATATTATTGAAAATATTATCTCATACATATCATGAAATATTAATAAATTACATATGAGTGAATAAATCTAATATTTTCCTACCTTCATCGCAAAGATTGTGCCACTGTCATTACCCGTTATTTTACGCACTTGAAAAACTTTGCCATAACCACCCTTCCCAATAACTTTGCATAGCTCGAAATCCTGTGGTCCAGCTCTTTCCCTTCCGCGATTAACATTTTGTTCTGATATTGGAACTGTCTCGACACCTTCCGAGCTAGCAGAGCATGAAAATTGTCATTATCACGAAAATTTTCAAGCATAATAGATATATAAGCGGAAAGGAAAGCTTACTCACTCGGTTATTTCATTCACATTTGGATTCGCATCGTATTCTTCCTATGTGAAAAGAAAAACGTATAGGAACAGCGTTATGGAACGTAAAATGAAAATGACGATAAGGAAACTGGAGTGCTCGTGTGCGGATGAAGAATTACCTCGCCAATCTCGATAACATCATCATCAGACTCGTCCCTATTTACCGTGTCTGCATCGTGTAATTCAATATCAAAAACTGCAGCCATTCTATGCGCAGCTAACTTAAATCCAACGAGATTTCGCGGCTATTGTAAAAACGAATTATTTCTTTTGTAACAAACAACGATAACACAATATTGTTACACAGTCAAAACCTTGAATTACTGCGAACAAGCTGCCCTGTCCCAGAGCATACCAAACACCCTCGCCTTACACACACTCCGATTGGCCGTAGAATCTCGTCATCGTCATGTTATCGGAGTGGGAGGGTGGATGGTTTGACCAATCGGATAATGATGTTCAAGTTCTGTATAAAAGGAATTGACAACTACGGAATTCTACGCACTATTGCCAAGTTTTCTCGGTAGAATATTCCGCGGTTTATTTAAATATTACAATTTTACTAATCAGAAAAATTGACAATATATATATATACAATATTATTGAAGTTATGCATTATTGGAATCAAACATTCAACATATGAAATAGAAATTAAAATATTTATTACGTGAACATTTACATATTATAATAAAATAGTAATATGTATGATATCATATATTATATATAAATATTATATATAATATTATATATATAAATATTATACATCATATATAGAATGTTCTGTTATTTATTAAATAAATATTTAATTAATATTAATATTTCAAGTATATCTCAAATATAATAAAATCTTTTTGTAAATTGTATTTTATTACAATATTTTATTTACAATATTAAATTAGCTTTATTAATTAAAGTTTTTATATTCAGCTCAATTAATCAGAAATTCTACTACTTATCACCTCGATATCAACCAAAAATATCTCGCATAGGTGTCACCTTTTTACAGTTGATAAGAGACTATTGCATACTAATATATCATGTAATAAAAAAAAATCGTAAAATTTTAATATCATTGTACTTATTGTTCAAAGAGAAATAATAGAAAATGGTTTTACGTCACCACGTTGAAGGATTCGAAAATTTTTTCGAATTTATGAAAAATTTTAAATCTAATGAATCAATTTACATACTTTATACTGGAAAAAAACTTCCTAACGGCAAAAGTTGGTGTCCAGACTGTGTTGAAGGTACAATCTTTCGATCGTCGTCATTTATTTCATACATAACCTAAACTATATATTTTCATACATAACATAAATTCATATGTAACTTATCAGATTTTTGCATAAAATAATTTAGAATTAGTAATTATTTATCATATGTATATTTTTATATAATTATAATAAAAATTAAAATATATTTTAGTGTTTCAAAATATTCTTGTGAATAAATCAACAATATGTATATGTGAGGATAAAAAAAATTATATTTTTGTTATAGCTGAACCTTTTATAGAAGAAGGATTTAAAATAGCTCCTACATCAGCACATTTAATTGAAGTTGAAGTTGGAGATCGGCCATAGTAAATATTTTATATATCAATATGTATATATATATATATATAAATCAAATATTTTATATATCATGTTAACATATTATCCTTGAAAAATAATTAATTTATAAAATATTTTCTTCTTTTAGTTGGAAAGATTTAAATTGTCCATTTCGAGCCAACTCAGTTACAAAATTAAAAGTTCTACCTACTTTAGCAAAATGGGGTACACAAAAACGTTTGGAAGGAAATCAATGTTTAAAACTTGATCTAATTGAAATGTTACTTGCTGATGAAGATGATTAGATAGTTCAATTCTACATGATGATATGGATATCCAAAATGAATAATTGTGTAAGTCTATAAAGAATGAATTTGAAGTTTTCTACAATATTAATTTTTATTAATATATATTGTAGTCAAATTTTCTACATTTTTTTATACATAATAATACAATTATAACATAGATAAAATAAAAATAGTTTTTATAATGAAAAATTCAACATTCATAAATTTATATATAAAATTAAATAAATTATTTTTAAATTCATTTCTATAAAACCTATAAAAAATACTATTAAATTTTTAGTATTTGCAATTAAATATAATACAAATAAAAAAGAAAAAATAAAAGTAACAAAAATATAATTTTTTTCAAATATCAATAATATTCTATGGAATGTATTTATCAAAAAATATTTTTTAATATGTATTTATTATTATTTTTTATTTATAAAGTTGCTGATATTATTTCTTGCGATTGTGTTGGTGGTATAACTTTCACGGAATAATGAATTTTTTTATTTCTCATAATACTATAAGTGTTATCAAAAACAATAGAATCTAAAATAGATAAAATTATAAATAAAGTATTTTTGATACTTTTTCGATAAAACGCGATATATACTCACATGTAGAAGGTACTTCACAAGTCAAAATTCCAATTTCATCTAATTGATGAGCAGCTACTCGTCGCATAGGTATCACTTCCTTTTGCATTCCATTATCATCTTTCTTTACAATACCAAATTTAATATCATGATTCTCGGTTCGAAATTCCCAACTATAATCATCCACAATTAATAAATACGAAATTCTTATAGTTAATTTATAAATTTATTTATACCTTAATAAAGATCCTGTCTCGAGTGCTGTCATATTAAGTTCCAATTTTCCACCTTTCTTAATTGTGACTGTTGTAAAATTTTCTTTACTATCATTAGTCACATACATTTCTTGAGGAACCTTGCCACCGAGACAAATCTGAACATAAACAGAAATTTTAATTAAAAATTATATGTACTATATAATTGATATAATATTAATATTGATTCTCTTCCTTACAATTTCTTATTCTAATATAAATATAAAAAGTTATATATAAAGTTTAAATAAATGAATTCAAATTTCATTTTAATAAGTCATTTCTGATAAATATTCTTGTATTTTTATATAGTTAACAAAAGTTTATTTAAACTTTAGAAATGATGTAAATTCTTTTCTTTCATTTCTTCACCTTTGTTCCAAGTTTTGGATTGCTATCAGGATCCTTAAGAGTACCTCCAAAGAAAGCAGGTACTTGATCTTTTGAAATGTTACTAAATATCGCTGCTTGCCATTTAGAAGGATCTGCTTTAAATATTTGAATCTTCGACAGAGTATATTCATTCATGAACTTTTTCGCTACCGAAAACGCAAAAGCAAATACTTTCGGAGCTATAAAAATGTATAATTATATTAATAATTGATTATATCATATAACTATATATAATTATATATATTGTATTATAAAGTATACCATTAATGATATAACAAGTCTTCAAAATCTCCGGGTAATTAGCCTCATACATTTGGATTAAGGTAATTACAACTTCTCCAGCTGAAAAATAAAATTATTAAACTATTATAAAAACTTCAAATTTTATCTTTTTGACAAAAAGACTATTAACTGAAATATATAATATGAAAAAAAACTTCAATTTAATAAAAATTATATCACTATCATTTTAGAAATTTAGGATACAAAATATTACTTCATCTTATAGAAGAATTTCATTACTCAATACTTTGTTTTTATAGATTATGCGCATATAATGAATCAAAAAGATTTCTTATAAAAATATTTTCAAAAATCAAATTAATGTACCATAAAAGACTTATGTAATAATGATGGATTACATGATGCATATAAATTTTACCTGGTCTCCAAAGATACTGTCTCAAATTGAATCCCTGCATATCAAATATTACAACTACTTGACCAGCCAAAGGACCATGTTTTAACATTTGCTCTCTACACAACATTAAATATTCTTCAAGACATTTTATCGTCATTTTTATCATATCCATACGTGAGACCACGTGCAAAATACCATAAAGATCAAGCGCATCGAAATATATAACAATAACTGTAAAGATACCAGAATTTCTTAGAATAATTAATAATATTTCTAAGAATTGTTTCTTTAATTTGATTAAAAACTTTTGATAAAAAACTTAACATATTTATCTCATTATCAAGAATTAATAAATAAAAAAGATTTATACATGCCTGGTGCCCCATCTTTGTCAAAACCACATAAACCATGAGGTAGATAATCTTTCAAAATTTTAGGAGGATCCCATTTAGTTAATTTGTCAACTTCCCATTGTTTTCGCCACTCTATAGACTGAAAAATTATTTAAATTATTATAGAATGTCAATATTTGTTTTTGATTTTTAGATCAAATGTTTTAATCTTTTTGAAAAATTATAAATAATGAAATTAAAAAGATATAAAGTTAAAAGATTTCATAGATCATTAAAACTAAAAAAAATATTAATTCAAAAAATTTAAAAATTCTATATCCAAAGAACATTTTTGATTCTAAATTTATGCTTTTAAATAAAAAATTGAAAGTATTAATCGAATAGAATTGAGAAATATGATTTCTAGTTTCCTTGAAAAGGAGAAAGGGAATATAGTTGCAATCAATATGTTGCAATATCCGGAATTTTAAATCGAAAAAAGAAAAGTAGAAAGAATAAAATATATTTGTATATTTAGAATATTTTATTATTACATATTATTTTTAAATATTATTTAATTATAAAAAAAACGATAATGACATGTAGATAAAATTACATTAACATTAAATCGTGTATTAAATTCCTTATTTTACAATTTAACAATAATAAAATAGAAAATTATAACCATTTATTAAATGAAATCTACTTTCTTTTATAATTTGTTTTTTCTTTTATTATAATGGAATTTATAATGGAATGTATAAAATATAAATATAAGAGGAAATATATACAGAAGATCAACATATGAATATAAAATATTATAGCTGTTTACATTACAAAGGTTTGCTATGCTCTCTTTTTATCTATTAGTTGGAATTATAATGAATATATTTTTTTGATGAATTAACATTCTATATAATAAAAGTATTAGTAAAATCAAATAAATTGATTTTTAAATGTAAATCGTTTTCTACTCTATACAATTATTGCATTAATTTTTTCATGGCATTATATAAATCCACATTATAAGAGAATACTAGGAATATAGAATCGCTAATTATATATAATAATTAATTATATATGATATTTTAAATAAATATTTTAAAAAAATATTTTAAATATTTTAAAATCTAATTCAAATAAATTTATATTATTTTAGAAATAATTATAATATATAAACAATATACAAATAAATATCTGATTCGTTAATTAAATAATTATAAGAAATATACATTGACCAAATAAGAATATAATAGAAAAAATTCAGAATTACTATGTTGTTAAACATCTAAAATGATAAAAAATGCAAAAAAAAAATTTCATTTTTTTTTTTCTATTGATTATTAGATCATAAAATGAATGTTTTCATATTTATAGCTAATTTTTCAATCTATAAATCAGTGAAATTTCAGAAAATTGTGAAATATGTTCCTTCAAACTTTTCCAATTAAATTTGTCTCTAAATTTAAGTGGAAAAATTGAAGTTTAAATTTGGAACCGCGAAGTCAAGCGCAAAATATGGATAATTGATCAATTAAATAATAAAAAAACATAATCGATAAATGTACAACTTATCGTTATTATGTCTAGATCTAAATTTCTAGATAAGATTACAATTAAAGTAGATCTAAATTTCTAAATAAAATTATGATAAAAAAAATATGCATATAAGTTCGAATATATTTTTTCACTTGGTATAATTTTTTTTAAAATTATATTTGATAATATTAGAACTATCAAAAAAGTTAAGATAAATTTTAAATTTTTCTATTTGTAATTTATTAAAAATATATATTTATTTATTTTCATTTTCATGTATTTGTTGATTTACTTATATTAAATTAAATAAAAATTATTTATTTAATAAAAATTATTTATTTAAATTTTGTTATAATTCGATTGGCAATATGTATTGCATTTTATTAAAAAAAATAAATAATATAAAATAATGAATTTAAAAAATAAAACAAATTTAATGAACTTATACGTAATAAAATATTAAAATTAATTTAACAATGTTTAATTAATTTAATAATCAAATTTTTAATCGCATGATTTCGTATAGTGTAAGTATGGGATGCATAAGAAATATGTGAAAGTACAGAGTAAGTTTGAACGAAGTTGTCCCCCTTTCAAAAGAATTTTTTCGAAACAAAAATGTTTATTTATTATTCAGTTTCTACGAATATGGATAGTTTTTCTAATTTAAAAAGAGAAGAAAAATGAACATAAATGGATCGCATTAGNGTACGTATATATGCAAAAACATACATATATATATATATATATATATATATATATATATGTACGTATATATGCAAAAACATACATATATGTAAAAACAAACTTACATCACGCAGCATCTTCTCCGCAGCAACTGGATCCCATTTTCTTGCTGGAAATTACGCGTTTTTATTTAAAGATATTTATTCTAAATATTTAGAATAAAATTACTTAAACTTTATCTTAAACTTAAAATCAATTAAAAATATCTAAAATAACAAATTAAAAAAATATATCAAAACTATGAAATATATTTAATATATTCATTTTCATGATTAAATTTCATGATTAATATTTCATTCATCATATATATATAGTAAAACATTTAAAAATGTATTTATCCGCTGATATCAATTTCTTTATTGTATTATATAAAATATCTAAATATCTTTTTAAGATTTTAGTATTCTTTTATTTAACTTTATTTATCTTTTATTTATCTAATGATATATTTAATTTTATTAATGAAAATACATTAATTTAATTTGATTTGCAATCAATACAATAAAATACAAAATATAAAATATTATAATAAAATATAAAATTATTATTATTCGAATAGGAAATAATCATTTTTATCCTCAAGATTTCAAGATTTTTACATTCAATTTAAATCAAGAAACATTTATATTTTATATAAATTTTTTTTAATGCATATTTTATCTGTGTTGTTAATAATGCTCAAAAAAAAAAAAGAAAAGAGAGATTAATTTCTTAATAACATTTTATATAGATTTTGCTTAGTAAAATCATATCTTGTTTGAAAAGACAATTAAGACATATAATCGAAAAGATAAAAGAATTCTTAGTAATTTCATCGAAAAATTTTCTTAGAAGTTGCGATTTATTAAATTCAGATAAAAATCTTAAACTGGAGTTTTTTTTTTTTTTTAATTATGAAAAAAATTATTGGAATAAAATTTTTTTACTGAGTCGTGATTTATTCAAGTAAAAATTTTTAAGTAAAATTACTGAATAATTTAATAAAATAATCATGCCATTGACTTTGAATGAATCAATAAAAAAAATATCTCAATAAAACGCTAAAAATGAATATATATATTTATTGCCTTTAACATACATATATATAAAAGCAATAATTATCATAAAAATTTACCGTACATATTTATCGTACTATTTTTATTAAAACATAAAAATTTAAACGCGATTAAAGCAAGGATGATTTTCCAAATTAGATTTTTTCAGGCTATTCATTTAATTCATGTAATATTAAGAAATCTTGTAAACAATTACAAGAATTATAATAAATTACAAAAATTTTTACCTCGAAGCCAACGTAGTAGAAAGTTATCGTCATGATGCGGTTGTGTTACATCTTGAACTGCCTTCCTAAACTGAAACCAGAATACGTTAAATTATATAATATATAAAATTATTAAATTATATATATATTGAATGATTTTTTTTTATTTATTATTGTTTCATATATGAAAATTAGAATTTAAATTAAAAATAAGTTATTTTATTTTATGGCGACAGAAATAATTTTTCATTTTTTTTTAATCCTTCATAATTTGTTATTATATTATTGTATTAACATTACAGTTTATTTATTATATATAATAATTAATTAATATAGTATATTATTTTGTATTTTTTAAATCAGAAAAAGAAACTATAATTAACATTAATTTTTAATGATAGAAACAAATTTTTAATGATAGAAATGTACAATGTACAAATGTACGAATGTACAATGATGATTTTAAATTTCAGGCAATAATAGATAATAAAATTGAAATAGTAATGTACTATTAAACTGGAACAATTTTTGTTATATAAATTATAACAAAAAAGAACTGTAGAAACTATGTAACTAAATTATACTTTTCCTAACAGATTACGATATATTATGTACACTGTAATTATATGACATAATAAAAAGATAAAACTTGGAATGTGTACTTTTATGCATAATTTGTAAACGATTTATCTGCTACTAGTATATTATATTATTTGTTCGCCTTTTATTTATGATTTGTAGTGAAAGCAAAATGTTTTTCAGAGAAATGCAATGATGATTTTACGGTCAGCGCAAAAATCTTTGATTATTTCGCTTTGTACTGTTCACAAAACCACTTGTATTTACTTTCACATAGACTTTTCTACAGGTCAACCCACTCCGGTTACCCATAACCGAAATACCAGTTACCAATATCGACATATATCGAATTAGTAATGAAAATTTATTTTTTCTTTCTTTCATTTTTTAAATAAAATTGTTTTAAATTTCTTAAAATTATACTTGATTAAATTCTAAACATTGAGAAGGATAGCAATTAAAAAATCATGATAATTATAAGATTGATATATATAAAATATATCTTCTTTGATGGACAAACTCTATTTATTAAATTTTATTTCATCATCAATTGTTAACAATAATTTATTGATATACAAATTTATATTTTTGTAAAAATAACTTAATAAATAAAAATTAAATAGAGATTCATTTTATCTATTAAATTTTATAACTTTATTTTAGATTTTTTTAATTATTTACTTTTCAATTTTTAATTTTTATCACAAATACATAAATTAACAGTTATCAATCACATTAAAGAAGAAAAAATTAAAATTATAATGAAGTTTGTAAGAATAAAAATAATAATGATACTCATTATAAATAATCATTATAAATAATCATTATAAATAATATTAATAAGTAAGAATATGCACATAATATTTTTATATTATTTTCTTATTGAAAAATAAAAAGATGTAAAACTAAACAGATCATATGATGAAGATTTCTATATATTTATTCTGTTTTATGTTAATTGTACTGTTTTTACTAGTTTTTTCTGAATATTTAGAATGTCATACATATTATATCCTTCATAAATATCCTTACATACAATCTTACTCGTATATTTTATTATAATAATTATGAGATAGTCTGAATAATTATGAGATAATCGATTTTACAAAAAAATGATTTTGCAAAATTAATTGAAATTATTTAATCTGTATTAATTTAAATCTTAAAAAACTTCATAGATTATAGATAATTAACATATAATTGATATTTAATTATAGAAAAAATTAAATATATATATATATATATATGTATATATATAAATATAAACCTGCAACACATATTCAATAACAATAAAAATACTATTACAAAATATTACAAAAAATTTGAAAAGAATCAATATTTTTTTTTATAAAAATATTTTGTGTAATTTCTTATTTAAAATAATATAGAATTAACAGGAAAGTATCGTGGTTCTCAATTAATTAACGAAACATTTCTACTGCGTATGCGATGTTAATTATATTCTTATATCATGTAGCATAATTCTCGAAAATTTGATAAAACTAACTTATAAATATAGATTTATGTATAAGCAAATAATGAGCAAAAAGAGATCTTATGTATCTGTCTAATCTTTGTCACATAAGATTACATATATATCTACAGAGAACGATAGAGTAAAGAAAGTGCCGTTTTACACGAGGTACCGTTTCCTTTCGATCATCGTAATGTTTGAATAAAAAAAACTACTTTAGAGAAACACAAGTATAGTAAGAATTGTTTTTTACGAGGAGAGAATCTGAAATCGTTTAAAGTGTGGATAGATTTAGCGACTCTCAAAAAAAGAAATCGGCGACCATAGACGAAAGAAATGTGGATGGGAATGCACGGTCCAAATCGCGCGATAAAAAGTTTTTCATTCGGGTGAAATTCATCAAATAATAACACGTTTTCGAACGACGAAAGCGATGATAAAAACATATTCATTGCTGGTGACATAGAATGAAAGTTTTAAAGAAATAGGAAGCAATAATAAAATAATCGTAGATAGATAGATTATAATAACAGTTCATTGATTGAACAGTATTTTGAAAAGATGCGAATGATAACAGTAATCATCATTGATTAGTGATTGTATTAATGTATTATAATTAAAAAAAAGAAAATCATTATATGAAATTAAAATATAATTATTTTGTTATGTAGATAACATGACAGAAATCATAAGATCTCAAAGAAAAATTAAAAAATTTAAAGATAAAAAAATAAAAAAATTGATAATGAAATTTTGAGATTATTTTCTAAATTATTCTTTAATTATTTTATAATAATATAAAATTATTCTCTAAAAATTTCTAAATTTTTTTCTTTAGAAAGTTTTACTTTTACCAATTGTGAACTATCGATGATGCACATTTATATTTTTTTTTATGTCAATGTTTAAAAAATTTCATCAAAAAAATATATTAAACGCTTTTTGCATATCATCATTGACCTCTAGTGTCATATGTTTTTTAAAATCGAGTCATTGACTTACTTTCATCAATGCAAATCGTTGGTTGTCCTCCAATCCCACTATTTTCATCATCTTCGTTTCTTTTTTATCTGTCTTTTAGCTATTATTTTAATTCTTCTTTTTCCTTGATATCTATATTTAATTATATATTTATTGTTATATTATATTACATAATTATTTAATTTATATTATCCATTCAAATACGGAATTATATCGAAACAATTCACATTTAATTATAAACATTTGATTGTGTTGACCATGATTATACAGATATTTAAATAGATAATACATATAAATCAACTTTATTATCATACCAACCTTATTTTTTCGGATATACTTGAATCAAATATAAATTTAAACTATGCTGTGTCATATAAGATTTTTCTTTTCTTGATCTTTAATTTGTGCTAAAATAATAAATAATAATATTCACATATATAATGATTATTATTATTCTTTAACAATGCAATAAAATTACAAGAAATTAAAAACAGACAACTTTGAAAATAATTATTCTTCTATTATTAAGATTTTTGAAGAACAAATATGTTTGACATCAAATATGAAATACATTTAACTTTTTATAATCAATAAATTTTAATAGATACAATAAATAGATACAGATAAATAGATAAATAGATTGTACATAATAATTTATAATATAAAATTTAAAAAATTCTTGATAACTTGGTAACTTATTTTTTTCGTCATATATTATAAAAAATTTAATATAACATAGACATAGCATGCATTATTGTATGATAATCAATTTATTGTTATGCATAGGAATAAACTCACTTTGCATTTCAAAATTATAAATATTAAAATCAATTCTTATTTTTTTTATAAAATAATAAATGTTCAAATATATATATTTATTTAAAGGTTAGAAATGAAACATGATTTAACTGAATGATGCTTTTTTATGAAAAAAGAATTTATATTTATTAATTTATTAATTTATTTTATCCTTTTTCTTGTATCTTTTAAAAAATGTATTAAAAAATATATTACTGATTAAATATCTAGAATTTAAAAAAAAATTATATGAATATCCATATAATTACAATTCTTGATCATATATAAATGATCGATATTAATTCGATAAAGTTCGATATTATAAAAAATTATAAAGAAATATATTATATAATATTATTAAATTGAGATATGAAATTCAAAATAAATCATAAAAAAATTATTATTATTATAAAAAAAATATTAAATATTAAATTAAATATTATTTAATAAATATTAAAAAAATTAATATAATCGATACAATAATTACCATACTTCAACTTCTCTCCGTGTATATGTACAAAATGTGTGTTGCAATCAAATAAATTCCCTTTAACTGATTTAATTTCGTAATCACTATTTAAAATGCACTTTGAATTATTTAAAAAAAAAAATTAACGAAATAAACGAATTTATAACTTTTTTTCGAAAAACTTTTGTATGTCTATTAAATCGCCAACAAATTACGTCGTCACTTGGCGCGCAAGCACGTTCGAATAATGCATCGTTATTGCATTCGTGTTTCGCGGTAACAGGCTTAGTTTATGGCGCAACAGGTGTCTCTTGTGATCGTCGCGCTCCAGTTCAAGAATCAATTCCCTACTAAAAATGAATATTGCGCGCTGACTGACACTCGAAGAGTGGTACCGTTCTGTTTTACGCTGTATTCATGATGCCTGGGGCGCTACCGTGCTAGGGCATACCCCACCACTTGCCCCGTTCGTGTCTAAGTTTATAATAGAGAAGCGTAAATCAATCAAAAGTTCTTTCAATTATTTTTAAATTGGAATTATTTGATAACGTGTTGAGATATGAGTTCTTCTTCCTCCACAGATTACAGCGTACGCTGGGAAAAATACAGTATTGGATTGGATCATTTTGAATGCGCGCGAATTTGTAAGTAACTACAGTGTAAGATTGTTTGAAAACTATGATTATTATTAACTGATAATTTTGTATGATTTAGTCTTTTGATATTCCGTTTTAATAAATTTATATTATATGTTAACCAATTGATTAATCGATCAGCATTTTTGTTACATATTTATATCATAGTAACCTTGATAATTTTGGGTTTACGGACGCCATATTTATTTATATAATATGTAGATATATTATACTATTATAAGCAGTTTATGGATTAGTTGGAAGAAAATTTGATATTCAATTTTGTACTGCCATTTCGAAGTACTACTAATGCCATCTGCAGAAAGATTCTTATATGATGAAAATATTGACAGTCATTAGCATTCAACTCGATCGATCTCTCGTTTTCGTACATCTAGTTATGGTGTAGGTGATAAGTGATATGGAACATTTTGTGTAATTTTTCGTCGAATAAGTTCAATATTATATCAATTTTAAAATATTCTGGTTAATCGAGAAAGTGATTCATGTAATTGTAATTATTTAATTAAACTTGCATCAAAGAATGCAGTTTTGTTTCAAGCGATACATTATCGGCGTTTTGTGCCAACATAAATTTCGACAAGAAAACAGATCATATGACAGAATACATTCATCGATATCGAGGTTAAACAAATTCTATCGCTATCAGAACCTTGTTAAGTAAGTAATTTCTTGTAATTATTTTATATTTTAAACAATACCAATCTATAGATATTGATTATTTGCATTCTGATTATCTCCATTAAAACAATCACAATAAAAAAATTGATTGCATTAAAAATACTTAAGTATATTGAATCTAAACAATATTTATCAAATCTAGTTTGAATTATAATTCATATATCGTCTTTTTTAATTTTTTTTATTCATAATATCTGTAATTATTATGTTATCTATAATCTACAAAAATTTATTTATAAGTAATAAATTATAATTTTTTGATAATTAGTAATATAGTAATATAATTAATAATATAGTAATATAGTACATATGCATTTCATAATTAAACTGAATAAAATTCATAAAAAATATGATTCATTTCTAAATTACTTGTTTCTCTAATCTATACTAATAATTTTCTTTAATTAATTTTCTCTATATATATTATATAATCTCATTAATCAGGCATCTAATATGGATTAAAGCAAGTGTAGTAAAATAAAATGAATAATTTTCTTAAAAAGAATTTTTAAGTTTTAAATATAGATCAATCAATAGCAATACAATAAATAGATTAGAGATTGCCTGGTTTTGAATATAAACAATAATAGAACTAGAAATGAAATTTTTTTTTCATTAGAAATGAAACATTCTAGATGTTTGCCATGAAGAAAAATTCATAAAATAAAATTATTAGTTATTTTTATTTATTAAATTAAATTATTTTAGTATTTCAGCTTGTATTGTAATGAAAATTTTTGCATCTATGACTTCTACGTGAACTTTATATTATATATATATTTTCAATTTTTTAAAAATGACTATATCTTATGATATTTCTTTATTATTGATTTAATGCATTTCAATATACGCAGTATTTACAAAATTGGAGATACCAAAACTGTTTATAAGTCATTAAAAAAACGATAAATTTGATTTAACATTAGTCAAACATTGGTTTATATTTTTATCTATCCTTTGATGTACAAGGAAAATGTAAACGAAAATATTGCAATCTATGGTATGTGAATACACTTATAATTCTTTTTTGTTTGATTTTAAATATCTTTAAAATTTGTAAAATGTATTTAAAATTGAAACATTAAAAGAAATTAATAGAAATTAAATTATATAAAAATATACAATTAAAATATTGAATAGATATAGAGAGAATTATTAATAGAAAATTATTTTAATTTTAATTACTGTTTAGAATAGCAATTATTTGATTTTTTAGAATTATTTATAATCTTTAAATATTTTGCAAGATTATTTATAAATTGATAAATTATCATTCATTTATTCATTTAATAAAATAAAAAAAATCAATATTTATATCAAATTTGCATTGTTTATTTGTATCTGAGATTTGTTGATATCTAATTTACGCGCCAAAAATGTTCGGCAATTATCGGCTTTTTTCGACGTCAGTCGTTAACGTTCATCGATGCCATATCGCGGCGTTCTTATTCAGTGTACTAATGTCTTTCGACGCTGTCATCTGGTGTGATTTTTACTTGTTTGCAAAATTTTTCATTTTCCAAACATTCTAGTGTCATAATTTTAAATCAAATGCTAGTGTTTTTTCTCCATCAAGTTTTTATTTGTTTTTTATTTTTCACATTTTTTTTTTCTTGTGAAAAATACATAAAATTGATTTCTGTTATCAGTTCGCACGTTGATTTACATACTTCTTCAATTTCTCTCAAAATGGTAATAGAATATATATTATAATATATATTATAATAATATATATATTATAATTATTTATTAATATATTTCTATTTTATTGAAATACATAATTTACTAAAATGAATTATTATTTTTATCTGAATTTTTTCTTTTTATTTTTTATTTATTTTTTTTTTTATTTAATTTATAATTTAAATTATATCAAAAAATTAATGTTATTCTTCTCATTTTTTAAAAAAATTGTATTATAAAGTTTTTATATTACTTTTCTGTAATTATCGTATTTATAAAATTTTTTTTAATAATTTTTTTTTTTATATTCAAATTATCAATGTATATATATATATATATATATATGTATATATATGTTCATTATCTTATAGCATTCATAAATAGCAGGAATATGTTGGCTCGACAATTTGTTGACCTCGTGTATAATGACATGACATATCTATATGAGTACATCAAATAAAACTAATTATTTTTCATCAATAATGACTTTTTCAGTTGTTTTAATCATGATTTAATTTAGTATATAAATCGTATCAGCAAACTCTCTACGCATTCTACCGTCGTCTGTATTTTTAGTGATATTGGCACGTATCTCTGAACTATATTAGTTGCAACTCAATGACAACATAGATAATTCGTTATGGTTTTTTTTTTAAGAATGATTAATGAAAATGTTTTGAATCAACATTAAAAAAAGATTATAAGGAAAATTTTTCTTCTTATTATCTAATAATCGATATTTATTATATTTATTATATATTATAGGAATTATGAATCATTTCTAGATGTATAATTAATATTTATTTGTTTTTATATTGTTTTTAAAACATAAACATATAATTAAAATTAATTCTATTAAATTATTATAAATTTAAGTAATATATAATAAAAACTTATATTTAACACACTGAATATACATTTGAGATTTATAATTTTTAATTATTTTTTTAAAGTATATGTTGTAGATAATATGTCTACAACATATATACATAATATATTTTTATATCAAATATTTGTTAGTTCTTTAAAATAATGTTATAATAATCTTTAGATATAAAATTATTATTAATAATTTATATATATATATATATATAAAATAAAAATTTATAAATATCAAAAGATAAGCTTTAATGAATTATATATTTATGAATTGGAACATTTTTTTATATAAGTTTTAAATATATTTAATTCAGAAAAAAAAATATTGTTGAAATGTTTACTAAAGAAAAAATATTTTTTTTTTTCATAATATTTAACTTGGACTAATCTCCATCAATTTTTTTTGTGGCAGCATAAAATCAAGGTCAAATTAACAAGAATAGCTATAATATATAAGCTATATGAAAAAAACAGATTTAAGATCCATTGAAATGAATCATATTATCATATTATTTATATAATTTCAAATTTTTATTTATATAAAAATTGAATCTTTTTTTATTGTAATTAAAGCAATTAATAATAATATTTAAAGGAATTATAATATAAAAAATTAATTTATTAATATTCAAAATGTATATTACTTATTTATCGATATTCAAAGATTTATTGTTAATAATATTTATTTTTACTATTGATAATTTTATTGATAATTTTTTATCTGCACAATGTACATATTATATATATATTTTCAATAGATAATTTTAACTACAGTTATTTTTAATTAAAGTAATACTTTTTTTTTTAAGTACCGATATATTTTTAGTAATACTATATATAATATCTATGATAATTTTATCAAGTACAATAACCTATTGAAACAAAAATATAGAAATTATAAATCATTTTGATTTATATATCAAAAATATATATATATATATATATATAATATATGATCATTTATATATATATAATATATAAATAATCAAATAATATGTACAGAAAAGAATGTTAATTCTGCGTGCATACATTTATTTCAATATTTGCTCCTTGATGGTTTAAGTTGAAAAGGTTGCAGGAAATATATCGTTTGCATAATAGCATGTAAATGAAAGCGAACGTTATGCGTACAACGCTATCATTGCTATCAATTTAAATAATAATAAAAATTAAAAATAATAAGAAATCAAAATTCAAAATTTTTTAAAGTAAAATGCACTATTTTCTTTATTTTAAATCTTTATTAAATCTTTTTTTGATGCACTATCAATGAATATAAACAAAAAAATTTACTCCTTTAAGGCATTAATTGACTGTTTATGAAGGTTATGCATTAGTGTGTTAAAAGTATTAGCTAAACGATATATAGATACACTTTATACATATGATATTTTGTATATAATAAAATAAAAAGAAGCTATAAATATTAAAAAAAAAAACCAAAACAATCAATTTATTTTAGATTAAGAAATAAAATTAACTTTGAAAAATTGAGAGATTAATTTTTCTCTCCTTTCATTTTCTTTTTTTAAAATCATGTCATTGATTGCATTAAAGTTATACTCAAGGTAATATACATATATCCACTTGTTTTTGATTATTATTATAATTAGTATAGATAGATACATAATTTCATCATACGTGACAAAATTTGATATAAAAATTGATATTATGCATGAATATCGGTATTAACCAATTTTTTTACCATTATAACAAAAAAATGATATAATACAATTGAATTTATTTGAATAAAGAATGTTTTATCATTCTTGTTTATTTATTATGGACGATTAATCTTAATAATTTTGCATATTCAATGCAATTTTGCATTTTCAGTAGATCAAATTTTTTATTTTATTATATTACTCAATGATGAAAGAGGCAAAAAATCAGTGTTTTGCATTATTGAATAATACGTAATAGTACAGTATGATAAATAAAAAACAAATGGATACATGCATTAATTTTTATATATGTACAAATACAAAAGGAATTAAATGCAAACGTGCTTTTAAATAAAATCTTATGTCTTATTTTATTTTGTCTAATCTTATTTTATTATCTTATTTGTATGTATTATTTTATGTATTATTTTATTTGTCTAATCTTATTTTATTATCTTATTTAAAAAAGTTAATATTTTAAGATAAAATTTCTATTACTTAAATTTTGTGAATCAATACTATATAGTAATTAGCAGTGAAAATTTATCCATTTTTATAATTTTAATAATTAATAATTTTAATATTTAGAACAGTTTATTATTATAATTTTTTTTATTTTAGCATTTGTCAGAGCCACACAAGAACCAAGCCTAATGTCCATATGGTCGACAAGCACTGGACGCAATTCAGTGTTTGGCGCGGAGGACGGAGCGGTACTCCCCTCTTCGCATTTGCCGATACACGTGGCGCGCACACATCTGCGCAACATTGACGGCCACTGCTTCCATAAGCGGTTCCACGAGTGTCAGGTCGGTAGTTCTCCCCTTGTCTCTTTGATCTTACAGTTCGTTTCCTTTTTATCTCTTTATGTATCACACTACATATTATATTGTTGTCTTATTGTCTTCTTTCGCCGAGCATCATATACATATACATATTCTTATATTTGCATTTCCTATTAGTGATCAGTTTTTCATTTATTTTTTTATTGGATTATTAAGATAATTCACATATAAATCTATCTTTGATCTTTTAATATCACAGATATAAATATTAATAATCCTAGTTTGGTATAAAAGAGACTATATATATATATATATGTTCAGGAAATAATTTTATGAAAAAATATTTAGAATTATCTGACAAGAATTTATTTTATAAAGATATACTATATCAAGTAATATTATAATGTGAATCATGTTAATATTATATATGATATACAGAATGAATTATTATATATAATATATATAAATATAATATTTTTATTATGAAACAATAATATTCATATATTTTGAAAATATAAAAAAAATATGCTGAAATATAATTAATAAAAAAATATTAAATATATATATAATTATACAATGTATATTTCAATAAAATACATGAATAGATAAAATTGTATTATTAATCAAAATTATCTAATATTATTATTATTATCTAATATTTTTTATTTAAATTATTATTAGTTAAATTATTAATTACATATATTTTAAAATTTCAGATATTGGAACAATTTCGTATAAACATAAAATTCAAACATTAAATCAATCATGACTATTTTATAGTTTTCAAATGAAAATGTGTATCAAATCTTTTACGTCTCTTTGTTTTACAATTGAATTTCAATAACAAAGATCAATTTGCTTGTTACTTGTTTTTATTTGATAAATCATTCTTTCTTTATATTATTGTTTAAAATTCATTCCGTTGATGATTTCGTGATCAGGAAATTAGATTGAAATTCATGAGAATCGTCGATGATTGTTATTCGGAAAAGAACTCGTATATTAATGTTCGTAGAAACAGAAAATTGAATATGTATTATTTTATATTCAAGAAATCCTTGAAAATACTGATAAATTCAATCGGAATTGTACGAATTACAATATTACTTACTTATTATCACTGTTGATAATACAACATCTTTATCCGGCAATCATATCGGCCGCATAATTATCTTCGTGTTAACAACTATTCTATGTCCGCAAATTCAACTTACATAAAGCACAAACACATAATATATTAATAGTTTCATAGTAACTAAAAAAATATGTTTATATTATCTACGGATGTATATTATACGGGAAACGATAATTTAAATTGATTTAGATTATGATTAATCATAATCTAAAATAATTATATTGATCTAAATATAGCAAAAATTATATGATCAAAAAAGTTAATTAATTATATAAAAGTAAGGCATTAATTAAAAAGAGAATATTTTCTTTTTTTTTTTTATTTATTTTTTAATTGAAGAAATTTAATTTTATAATAATTTTAAAATATTTACGTTGTTTAGAAATTAAGATTATTGTTTAGAAATTAAGATTTTTTTTTTTTTTAATATGATATTTTATCATTCTATCGCTTGCCAAATTTTGCAGATATATCAATCTAGTAGTTGAATTTTTTTTTATTTTTATTATATCTTTTCATTAATTTTCCTTGTTATTTGTTTCGTTCAGCACCCGTTGGGTTTTTGTCCTACACAGGACTTTTGGCAAGTTCTCCCATTGGCACCAACGTTGCCATCTACTTTCGGTACGTGTCTTTATTTCTTACGTGCTTGTACAGTTGAGCGCCAATTATCCGGATACTCAGTAACCCTGGATATGCAATTATTCTGATGTATTTTCAACAATGATTTTGCCACACGAACATATATCATAAATCTAAAATCTCATATGAATATATTGATCGCTGTTTCAAGACAAAAAATATGAGTTAGGATTTATATTTGCAAGTTAATGATTGTGATTCAAATTTAAAAATAAATCATTTTAATACATGTAAGTTTTTTATGAATTTATATAGTTTGTAGTTGTCTAATAATTTTGTTGTAATATTTTATATAACATTTTTAGCTGAATATATAAAATGTTTAAATTTTATTTATTTATAAGGAAAAAAAAATGCACACATATATACTAACAAAAATTAGCATATTAATAGCAATGTAATATATTCAGAGTTTCTTCTTTTGGCTAATATCAAATTAATATATTAAGAAGTTAAATATAATTTCATATAAACTCATTTGAGAAAATCTATAAAATATCTATAAGATATAAAAAATCATTATATTATTTAACGCAACTTATAAATATATTAAAAAATAGTTCTGTTAATTAATTTAATTATATTACATTGCCCGATAATATAGATCAGTAGTTTCAATTAGATTGTATAATTGTCACGAGATGCCTGAGGCACAGTGACAAGTTAGCATATCGTTTTCGATTAAACATATTGTGCAATCATTTGCTTTCATTCAATTCTATTTTACAAACTTTATATTAATATAATTTCTATATTGTTTGTTTTTTTCTTTTATGAACTAGTCAAAGATGTCACAGTCAGGAGATGGCCTTCACACGCCGGGTTATCTCTCTTGGAGAAAATTACAACTCAGCCGAGCGAAACTTAAAGCGTCAAGCAAGACGTCTGCTCTACTTTCCGGTTTTGCTATGGTATATATATATGAATATTTTAATATTTCTTTTCTTTAATAGTTAAAAATATTTTTAGATTATCAAGAACAAATAGAGTTTATTATGATATTATTATAATAATAATAATATCATATTTGTAAAAAATTGTTTTTTTTTATATATAATTATTAAAAATAAAAAATATAGTGAATTCATATCTACTAATGTAATATATATGATATATGCATATATATATGATTATATAATATATATATAATAATAATAGAAACAAATATAGCATTTTTCTAAACTATAATCTTAAAAATAATTGATTGTTCAAAATTAAATAAAAATGTATCTTCATTTTATTATTTGATTATTGTATTCTTTTATACTTTTTTTAAATTTTTCATATTATTCTATTTTAATATTAATAAATTTAATAATAATATTTTAGTATTAGTAATTTTAGTATTAATAATTTAGATTTAGATTTTAGATTATTATTATATTTTTTAGAATTAGATTATTATATTAATTAAAATTTCTTATAATTTAATTACAATATAATTAATAAAATTAATACAATTTTTAAATTTATGTAAATTGAAATATAAATATTATATTATCAATATTTAGTCTATATTTGAATTTTTAAAATTATTAATTTGAAAAATTATTAATAGATATCAATTCATTAAAAAAAATATTATTTTAAAAACTAAAGAATTGTATATGTATAATAATAGAGAATATTATATATTATTATATAACACATTGATTTTATTACACAGACATTACTGTATATTTATTATTATATTTTATATATATTTAGTATACATATATATATAATATATAATAATTATATATATATTAATAAATAAAATTTTTTTGTCACAGGTAGCCATGGTTGAAGTACAATTGAATTCCGATACGAAAGTACCTTCAGAGATGTTAATTGCCTTCGCTGTATGTACTACCTTGCTGGTCGCGGTTCATATGTTAGCCTTAATGATATCAACATGTATTTTACCAAATATTGAAGCTGTATGCAATTTACATAGTATAAGTTTGGTACATGAATCACCACATGAACGTTTACATTGGTACATCGAAGTAGCATGGGCATTTTCCACTTTATTAGGACTTTTACTATTCTTATTGGAAATTGCTATACTTTGTTGGGTAAAGTTTTATGACTTTTCAGAAGTGGCCGCTTGGTCCGCTTGTATCGTATTAATACCAGTACTAATAATTTTTCTTGCATTCGCGATACATTTTTATCGAAGTTTGGTAGCTCACAAATATGAAGTCACAGTATCTGGTATAAGGGAATTGGAGTTACTTAAAGAACAAATAGAATCAACCGATGTTGAGGGTAGGAATGGTGTAAATTTGCTACAAACCAGTGGCGTGACGCATGTAGTTTGAACATAATGAGACATGATTTATGTTACTTTTAAAATGTGATAATCTCTTATAATGGAGGATGATGAATCTCTGATTATCTGCTCAGGCTGCAATATAAACTTATACATGTTATATATATTATAATGCAAGATGAAAATTGATTCAAAAAGTTTGAGAAAATAATTGTGTATATAACAAATTTACACTAGATGTGATTTTTGAATCACATAAGAGAATATTCAATACTTGAAAAACATAATAACTTTGAAAGAAAACAACTATTTCTTTCAATAAGCGATATATTGTATTCTTCCTCATATTTATCCACATAGTGATGAATTTTACATGTACTGAAAAGTAATTTTTGATGAAAAAGTGTGCGTATGAAAGCCAAACATTCCTTTTCTCGCATAGCGACTTAATCTATCAAAAAACGGTATGCAGTAATATTTATCATATGATTTTCTTTAGTTATAACTCAAAAAGCAACAATTGCGAATATAAGTTTATATTTTTCGTTGACAATGCGTGACTAACTCGCGTTGAATGTACTTATTATCTCGTTTAAAAATATGCTTCCCGGTATTATTCACAGTTTTTATAATTTTGTTCGTTTAATTTATTATTTTATAATCTTATAAGACGTCCCATGCTCAAGTGACATTTCAAGTTTTTTACATGGAGACAAAATAATTTCCTATTTTATTGTCTCTGTTGTATTTGTACTTGGTTGTCAAATTACTGCCATCGCTGAAAGAGTGGTAATTATATTGTACATACTTTTTATTGCAAACAAATGATTTATATATATATTTGTTGATAGAAAAAATATGCAAAATTGAAGTACTTTTGCTACAATAAATTATATAAATAACATTGATTCAGTTTGTATTATATATTATTTTAAAAAATAAATATATTTATTTATATAAAACAGAATTTAAACAAGAACATGTGTTTCTAGATACACATATATTTGCGATTATATGCTTTGGTATTCTTCTACATAAATCTTCAGTATAAGATAATTTTTTCTTTTGATCATTGATTTCAGAAATGTCTTGAGAACTCTTGATATGCGATATCAATTTAATCTAAAAAAATGAATCAAGAAAAATTATATTGAATATGAATTATAAAAATTTTATTTATAATCGTTATACTTCTGGAATAGGATATGGCGTCGGACGAGATGCACATTGTCGGAAATCTGCATCCAACATAGTGCCATTTATGAATAAATCACTTGTCCAGAAACCATGTTGCTCTTGACCAGTAATTATATGGTAAAATGTGCCATAACCTTCTTTCTTGCCATTAACAAATTGACCTTCATATTTATTACCATTATCTATAAAAATTATATTAAATATTTAATTTTTATAATGATATAACGTAAAGAATATCTATTTTTTTTAAATTACAATCATTGTTCTATTTGATAAATTATTTTTTTAATTTATATATTTATATTATTTTTATAAAACATAAAAATCAACTACAAAAACAACAGATGATATTAATTTGGAAACCTTTAATGAATATTCCTAAACCATGATAAAGATCATTTTTCCAAGCTCCCTCGTAATAATCTCCATTACAATACCATATACGACCATAGCCATGTCGTTTATTTCGACAAAAATCACCTTCATAATAACTACCATCTTCGAACCAGTTATATCCAAATCCTTGTTTTGCTCCAGCTACCCATTCGCCAATATAATATCGGCGAATTTTATGATCTTCTTTTGAAATTTTGCTTAAAATACCACAACCATGCTTTTTATCATTAAGCCAACTACCATCATATATCCATCCATCTCTATGAAATTTCAAAATGAAATTTCTTTTCATATATATCAAAAACATCAAAAAATAAATAATAAAAGACAAATAATAATAAATATTTTTAATTAATTTTAATCTTATTTATAATAATTATATAATTATTATATATTATCAATGTAATAATTAATACCTGTTCACTTCTCTACCTCTACCCTCTTTTATATCATTTTTCCATTCACCTATATAATAACTTTTGCTTCGGGGGCTGAAAATAGTATGCCTCAAACCATTTCTTTTTGAATTTTCTATTTTACGCCGAGTATATGAAGTTTTAATATGTTTTAAGAAAACCATTATAAAATTTATTAAATATTTCATTTAAATTTTGAAAACAATTTTTTAGCATGTTAAATATTAAATTGGTTAATATTTAATTATCTTTTATGATTCATTGTTCTTTTTAAAATATCACTTAATATCAATGTAATGAAAATAAACTTAAAAAAGCTAAAAATTTGATTCATTAATACAAGTTTAAGAATAAGAAGAATACAGATTATCAAAATTTTTATTACATCCGAAATTAAGTGATGCAAATTTTTATACTGACAGTGCCATCTATTAACATTATAAAACAATCAAACTTTTATATTTTATAATTTAGAAATATGAAACAATATGTAATAATATAATTAATCGTTTTAAAACACATGAGCAATATATTTTTTTTATTAAAAATATTATATATATAATAAAATATATAAATATTTATGATTATTATCTAAAATACCTTTAAAAATTTGTATTTCTAACATCAAAAATTATTAAATAAAAAATATATTAATAATAAAATTATTTAAAGAAATATTTAAATCAATTATAATTCTCAATTAAATTTTAAAATAAAATCTATTCCATGTATGTTTACCTATTCACGAATTAGAGCGCCTCTACAGTTAAGTTTTATTGCGTTTGGGAAACTTCATAGGATTGGAGTATCGTATTTTTTTTAAGATAAAAGTTCAAAAGAGGAAAAAGTTTTTGTTCGATAAAGTTACACATTTACAATATATAACTGTTTCATCTATGTTCTCGTTCCAGTGTCGATAGTATTTCCATGAATTCTACGATTACTATCGAAGATACCGACGAAGAGGTGATTGATTTGGACTCGAGCCAAGATGCCATCAATGTTACTGACAATGACCAAAGTGAATATTCGATTGAAAAAAATTCATTATCGAACAACAATGCGAAGAAAACGAACATAATTAGTGATTATGTAGATAATAATAAAAATACATCTATGAGAATAACATGTGATAGCGCAAGTACATCAAAACCACTTTTGAAGGTTATATTTCGAGATGAAAGTATTTCACGGTAAGAAATTGCAGTATTTTTAAAATATTTTTATGTATAATTTGCTATCAATTTTCGCGTAAAATAAATAAACTATTTTGTATATAATTTTAAATATATATATATTAAATATATATATTTTATTGTATATGACAAAAGAATTTCTAAAAAAAACATTTTGATTCTAATAGAATATATCAATTAATACATATATTGAAATAATTATTCTATTATTACAGAAATAATTTTTATTTTCATTTCTTTATTAAATTTTTAGGCAATATAATAAAAAAATTAAAGAATTTCTAGAAGAATTAGAATCTTGCAAAATTAGATGTCAAGAAAATGATAATGGTTTAACATTAGAAGTTTGGGATAATGATACTGATTCTATAAGTCAGTCTATTGAAATTACTACAGAAAGTGAAGATAGTCAAGATATAATATGTGATACATTATTTACTGTAGATAAACAACCAAAACTTAAAGATGATTTTGATGTTCCAACTTATGGAAAGGTTTGTTTTTTTATTAATATTTTTTTATTAATATTCAATATTTAAATTAATTTAGTGATATATAAGATTTATTATTCCAAACAAATAAATGTAATATTTGTAGTATTTTATTGTTATTAAGTTTTTAATATTTTGACATTACTAATAATTATTTTAGAAATATGAAAATGTGTTTGATAAAGAAATATTAGAATCAGATATAAAACTAAAGACTGACTGTCCATCTTCAAGAATGATGTGTTTTAATTGTTTGGAAAATCATAATTTACGAGATTGTCCAGAACCAAGAAATTATGCTAATATAGAAATAAATAGAAAAAATTTCAATATGAAAAACACAAGAACTGTTAGATATCATTTGGAAGATAATCAAAGATTTGGTCATATAATTCCTGGTCAATTAAGCAATAATTTACGTAAAGCACTAGGTCTGAGAAGTAATGAATTACCTAGACATATATATAGGTAATTAGTTTTTATTTAATTAGTTATTATTTAATTTTTGAAGTTATAATTTTTAAAAATAAAATAATATAAAAATAAAAATAAAAAAAATGTATAAAATAGAAAAAAAAATTTATTTAATTATATATAAAATAGAAATATAAATAAAATAATTTTTAATATAAGAATCAAAAAAAGAGTTTCTAATAGTTTTCTTATATTAAAATATTTTTTCTAGAATGAGAATGCTTGGTTACCCTCCAGGATGGTTAGAGGAAGCACGTTTACAACACTCTGGTTTGTCTTTATTTAATTCTGATGGTATTCCAGTAGAAGATCCTAATGATGAACCAGGATCTATTATCGAAGAAGGTGATAGAGATCAATATGATATAAAAAAAATATATGATTTTCCTGGTTTTAATGTACCAGCTCCACCTGGTACCCGTGATGTAAGATAAACAAATTTCATAATACAATTTAATGTATTTTTATAAAATTAAATTTCTTGAATTACATTACATAAATTATAAATAATAGGAGGATGGACAATATTGGATATCAAGAATGTTAACTATTAATAGTAAACAAAGAATGTTACTACAATTAAGAGGAAAGAAAGCAGATGATGGATATAAGAGAAAAAAACTCAAGACTATTAATAGTACATCAAATGATAGTCCAGCACCACAACCTAGTGAAATGGAAATTGAAGATACAGAAGGTATATAAAATATATCTTGTTCTTTTAAAATTTACATATTTTAATAATATATGATGTTAATATATTTATGAAATATGTTTGAAATTAATTAATTCTAAAAGCTAAAACAAATACAAAAATATACAAAAATTTTAATTGAAAATTTATTTATCATTTATCATAAATTATATATTTATTATTTATAAATTATAAATAATAAATTATATATATATTATTATTTATATATTATTTATAAATTTACATTAATTACATCTATTATTTTAATAAATAATAGATGTAATAATAAATAATAAATCTTAATAGATATTTTTATATATCTTCATTATTTTGATCTCCAAAATTGATCTTCCAAACAATATTCAATATGTTAACATATCTCATATTATATATACAATTATATATCATATAATATAAAAATATTTCTTTTTTTATTAAATAGAAAGTGTAGTAGAATATGTACCTGCTAATGGATTATTTGTGCCACCATTACCATCAGAATCCCCATTGAAACCACCTGAACCACCATTACCATCACAAACAATATCTGAAGATTCAGATTATCATTCTCAAGAATTACAACTTTCTAAGCCACTAGTATGTATAAAACAGTGTTACATGTATCATTTTTATAATAAATATATCTATATGTTATTTTTGTAAAATATATTAAAAAATAAGATAAATTTTATGTAAAATATTACAGGAAAATAACATATCACCTTCTTCGCGAACGAAATCCCCATCATTACTTGAATTGGAGAATATGAAAAAACAATTACTTGTAGAACTTCAAGAATCAAATTTAGATATTCCATTGAAAAGCAATTCTTCAAATTCAATTCCAAAATCTGATACATTACCATCTAGCAATGAAACTACTCCAGAATCAAATCATATTCGTCAAAATGAATTAAATACAAGTCATGGAAGTGTGAAATCTATTGATTTAGGCACACCTGTGTTACAAAGTACATCTCCATATAATAAATTACCATCATCTGAAAAATTTTCAAAGAATATTTGCAATGTGATTAATTACGAAAATTTACCGGATTCAACAGGTAAGTACGAACAAATGACAGGAGTTTTGCAAAAAGTAAGAAACACATTGGCAAAACTTAATCAAGAATAGTCATAAATATTCAATTAGGTTTCATAATATCAAAGGAATATCATAATTCATAAATATAAATTTTTCATTAAAAAGTAAGCAATAATTCTATCTTATTTATAGATATCTTATTAAGATATAAAGAAAAAAATTTTCTTTTTTCGCTAAATTTCATTAAATAACTATGATTCTAGTTAAAGAATATATTTTTAATTATAATTAATTTAAAATATATATAATTTTTCAGTAAAAATATATGTTTTGTAAATTAAAAAAATGTATAAACCATATGTTTATTCTTTATTATTTTAATTTATATATTTGCATATTTTTCAAAAAATCAGAAAATATCTAATATATTTTATTCGTAATTTCTTCTTTTAATCTAAAATGGTTTTTTTTTTTTTTTTTTTTTTTTTTTTTTTTTTTTTTTTTTTTTTTTTTTTTTTTTAAATGATTCTAATAAATGAAAAAAAATACAAATTATAATAATTTTAATTAAAAATTTTTTAATCATTATAATAAATATATTGCAATTGAATATTTCTGACATAAATCTGTATTAATGAAGAAGAAGGACTATGAAAATGCAATGTAAAATCGTCCTTTTAATTGGTCTTCCTACTTGTGTCGAAAAGATAAAAGAGATTCATAATTTTTAAAAAAAATTAATGATACCTCACTTATAAAAAGAAGTACAAATATATACTATTTTTCTATTAATTAATGACATTTTCTCGCGTAATATATTGTAAATGAATATTAACTATTTCATATTGAACAAAAGATTTCAAATTTTATTTTATAATTATTTCAATTAAATATTATTATAATATTATATTCATTATTACAAATTACAATAAATTTTGTTTATAAGTCGAATTTATTTTAGAATTAACGAATGTTTTTATCAGTACAAGCAAAATTCTTGTACATAATAAAATATAATCGTTTTTTAAACGATAAAAATTATTTGTAATAAATTCAAATTGTATTTAAAATTATTTTTAAATATTAATTGTACTTAAATTTATAAATTTTATATATGCATTTAAAATATTTCTCTTAATACATAGATGTAATAAATGTATAAATAATTTTTTTCTTTTATAACATTTTTACTATTATGCGTTTTGCCTATCACTATAGGTCATTATATTAATTTTAATAGTTTTACACTGATATATTATAATATTTTACTTATGCACATATAACATAATATTAGATTGTGGCTAAAAATATATGTTATATTCATTTATGTATATAATTAAATAATGAAAAATTATCTTTGTTATATATGTGATATTAACTTTATATATATCACATATGCCATATAACATTTAATTACACATATACATATACTATTAGCAATTAGTAGCAAATATGTTGATAAATAAATAATTGAGCAATTAATTTTTTTGCTCAAATAAGTTTTAAACAAATGGAAAATGAAATTAAAATTGTTAATTAAAAAATTTTTATATTAAAATTTTCATTCTAGTTTTCCAATTATAAAATAAATTGTATGATAAATTCATCAATTTGGAAAACTATGTATATATGTAAATAAAGAAAGGAATGTGTTTTTGTAATAATGATAACAAGATATTAATAGAAGCATTTTAACAAGATACGTATTTGAAGTGTATATCTCTTATCTCCCCTCTAAAAAATTTATTTATTTCTAATAAAATTATATAATATAATAAATAAAATAGAGAAAAAGAGAATTATTAAAATAAAATAAAATAAAATAATTAAAAAATTTTATTAGGAATTTAATAATCTAAATTTTAATAAAGTCAATAATTAAAATTTTTAATATATATATATATATTTTTTTTTATATGTTATTGGTATTTAACATATATTATAATATAATTATTGTTAATTTTTGAATCATTAGAAAATAGTATACTGATTCCATAAAATATCTTTAATTATATTGTCTTTTTTTGTAAAACGTACATATATTTATTATATTTATTATATTTTTTATAATGAAATCATATATGAAGTTCAATTACAATGCATATTATTATTTAGTTGAAAAATAATAATTTTTTAAAAAATAAAAATTTAACGTATTAAATTATTTTTTTATAAAAAAAGCAGATAAAAATAAATATAAAATAATGTATGTTATTATCATTCTAAAGGAATGTACAACACTCACAATTGTTTAAGAAAAAAAGAATTGTTAAAGAATTTAAATCATATATAAATATTTCAATTCATCGAATTGTGATTTCAAAATGAGATTTATAAAATTAAATCCTATTTTTCGTGTAATACAAATTCAAATGAATTTCGATAAAATATTCATATGAAAAATCATACAATAAGAATAACCTAAATTATTAATTATATTAATTATTAATTATTATATTAATTTACATTAATAATTTATTTATAATTAATTTTTAATTTATAATTAATAATTAATTTGTTACTAATTTACGTTATTCTTATAAATAAAATTATTTTTAATAAAAAAATTTTTATTCTTTTTTTTAACAATCACAATTTCAATATCGTTTATACAGTTACGCGTATTTAAAAAATGAATTTTCAATAACCTATAGCATATCAACAATTCAATTAGAAGATATTTGATGAAAATATTTTCATTGAATTATAATTATTTTTTTTCTCTTTATATATAGCTTCGATATGTGACAAATGTTAGTAAATAAAAATCGAAGAATGCGAATGTTAACGTGTACAAATATAATAATTTTCAAATTATTAGAAAAAAAAGAAAATTACAGTTCTTTTTAGGTTAGATTAAATATATTCATAGAGATATCTATAATCATAGAGATATATATAAATCAAATTAATTAATTTTTTTTTTACTTCGTCTATTATCATAAATTCAGTAGGTTTCTTATAAAAACCTACATAAAAGCGTTTATTATATTTCATTCTTATTGTATTGTCGGTGGTGGTACTGGAGGGTCGTCATGCGAATCCTAAAAAAATTATGTGAAAATTAAAATATAATTCATATCGATAAGATAAGAATAAAGTTATAATATATACAAGTTGATTAAATCAATTTGTATATATTAATGAACTTACACGTTCATTGTTTCGATCTTTAGCAATATCATTATTTAAATGACGAAGAGACTGTGGTCTAAGAGCATACATAAGGACAACAAATACAATAATTAATAAAATCATGAAAAAATTTAAGTTCCATGATGGAACATCACGTGGTCCTGGTACTGAAAAATACGTAATAGAAACTTTTAATTAAATTAAAAAAATTAATGTCAATAATAAAATATAAAAAATGCTTACATCGTGACATATCAAAACATTCATTATCTGTGCAGTAATTTTGGCTTTGCCGCAACTGAAACAATAAATGTCATACGTGAAATATTTAGAATTGATAGAACTCTATAAATTAATAATAAGATTAATTAGTTAAAAATATATTTAATATTTTTTAATATTTTTTAAAATTTAAAAAAAAATAAATATGCAAATAAAATTAATGCTTTAATAAAATTATAACTATATTATTATCGAATATATATTCATTCTCTTACCATATTTTATATGTTTATTCATATTTGTTTGATTGCGTAACTCTTGCAAAAGAATTGGTAAAGTAAAATAAATTCCCAAAAAGTTGCTTACTGTGACATATTTTTACCACTCGAATGAAGGTTTTACTACTATATGAAAAATATGAAAAATATCTTATATTAAATTATACAGATTAAATATTATTCATCTGTATAATTTTCGATTATTTCGAAACAATTGCACTCATTATTATTAAAAATATACATTATTATTATAAAAACATATATAATAATAAAAATAAAAGGAAATATTATTTTTTTAAAAATTTATAAATTTTTAAAAATATAATAAAATGAAGTATTTTTAATAGTTATTTTTAAAATGAATAAAATATTAAATAATTTTCATATATTAAAAATGAAAATATACATTAATTTTAATAAAGATTTTAATTTCTTGAATAAACAAGCAAAAAATTTCGATTATGGCTTACAATAGAAAGTAGGCGTTGCATAGCAAATTCATGGTTCCATATACATTCACATAGATCAAATCCTTCGTCGGCCATCACGAAATCTACTTGAAAACACAAAAAAATAATTACGATATTAATATATATAATTATAATAAAATCATATATTATTTTAATTTTTATTAATAAATTTTATTAATAATTTTTATTAATAATAATGTTACCATAATAATTAAATAATAATTTACATAATTTATATTTATATAATACATACATATATTGTATATGTAGTATAAATTGATATAAAATATCAAAATTCATTCAAAACAACTATTAAAAATATATGGAATTAGTAAGAGTACATATATATATATATATATATATATATATGTATATCATATGTATATAAAAGAAATCTCTTAATATTTTTTGATTTCAAATATCTATTATCTAATTATAATCATAATTCATAATCATAATCATAATCATAATTCATCAATTATAGATAAAATATAGTTTGTAAAAATTATGGAATTTGATATATATGAGTATTTTAATGTACAAGAATTTTTAATAACAATTTTAACATCATGGTGTAATAGAAATAATTTAAAATATTTTATCCTGAATTTAAATCCTATCACAGAAATATCCTTTTTTTTAAATTCTAAGAAATGATTAAAAAGAAATTATATAAATTTTTAAAATTATTGAGATATCAACTATTTTTTCTAACTTTATTTATTTTTATATTTTATTAAAGGGAAAAGGAAAGAGGAAAGCAAGCATATAAATATAGATTAAGATATAAATAATTAATTTTTATTTAATAATTATACATAGAATTTGATAGAAATAATAAAAATACAAACTTATTTTATATTACAAATATTTCGTAAAAGTTAACTAATTATAAGAATAATTATAATTGAAAGATCTAATTTCTGTGAAAGAATTTGAATTTAAGATAAAAAATTTAAAATTGCTACATCACAATTATTATATATGGATCAATCATAAATTTAATATATTTTATGTTAGATACAAATTTATGACTTGTTTTTTAAAATTATTAGATCGATAGTGTAATA